TCATCGGAAGGCCTTTCATGCAATAATAATAATCTCGGCGCCGAAGATAAGTGTGTCACAAATGTATAATATTATTTCTTCGATTTCTCTTTATTTTTCACGTTCTTTCCATTTTCACGTTCCTTCCGTTTAATGATACTTGTCAGAGAGAATGAAGAGTAAGTCCCTTGAAAAATAAGTTAAATGCGAAGCGCATAAAAAAAAACGTTATGTCAATTGTACAATATCACAGAGAGAAACGATAACGCGCTGTATACCTGGGATTTCTCTTTTGTATTGGCACAATGCATTATTATAGTTCTCATTATACTCCAATATTCAGTGAACAGGACTGAAATCGAATGATTTTTACGCCTCCCGATGCACTAATCGCGATATAATTGCAGTCAAATGACTTTCGTTTTAGTTAGATATCCCGATCCGGTTTCTCATCTCTTTGCGGAGTGCGCGCATTTATGCTGGTAACACACGGCTACATCTCAATTATTTCAACCTCTGACTATTGAAGCATTAAACGAATTCACGCGTACAGAGACTGAAACGTAATGAGGTGATGCTATGTGATCTCGAGAACATTATACGACTTTGTGAAGCAATTGTCTGAATACTAATCGTATTCAGATTAATCGATTATCTGATACAATTCAGGTCGGACGTTCCATGCGTAGTTTCCTATACGATAGCTAGGCTAATGGTACACGACGACAAAATTGTAAATGTGTTCTGTCATGGCGGAATTTTTAATAATACAGTGATCCTGTGTATCGCGACTCTGCAATAAAACCGCAGGAACTTTAACAGCGCGTTATATTATATTTCTAACGTGTTCATGAAAATTCAATGGGGGCTGGAACAACGCGTGGGTGGGTAACTGTAATAAAGCTAAGCCGTATAACGACACTGTCATTAAGTGGCATTGCGGTCATGAATGCCGTGCCACGCGATACGACGAACCATTGTTCGGATTAGATCATTTCAACCGAGCTTTTTCGATGCACGAAGATGTGTGATTATTTATTCATGATTACGTATGTAAAGAATGACCTCGCTGTCACACGGTAGAATTCTAGATAATCGCAGGATCGTGGCGAAATTCTGCAAGCCGTATAATCGATTACTCGCCATGTCGCGAGGCGTTGAATCAAGCGAGATGCCTCGACGATAAATGATGAAAATCATTATTCTCTTCAAATAAAATCTTTGCTTTATTTATTGTTATTAAATATTAATATGCATACAATAATCATCTACATGAATAAAAATCTAAATGATTTAATAAGGAGATGTTAGCAGCACGACATTAGCTTCAAAATTTGTTTGGAAAAATTCTTCAAGTTTATAAAGGTTAAGATATTTTTTTATTTTATACCGGAAATTTGTTGCTTGACTTTTAATTCGGGCCGACTTTACAATGCATTTATTGTTATTAAATATTAATATGCATATAATAATCATCTACATGAATAAAAATCTAAATAATTTAATAAGGAGATGTTAGCAGCACGACTTTAATATGCATTATTAATTATTATTATTATTATTATTAATTATTATTATTATTAATTATTATTAGCTTCAAAATTTGTTTGGAGAAATTCTTCAAGTTTATAAAGGTTAAGGTATTTTTTTATTTTATACCGGAAATTTGTTGCTTGACTCTTAATTCGGACTTAATGGAGAAGGGCACGAGGTTCTCGTGTAACCGTTAATTAAGATGTCTATCTGCGCGTTGCAAAATATAGACCGGCAATAGTGGAGTCCGATAGATACGATCTGGAAACTCGGCCAAATCTTTTCAAAGACGTCGCGCCGTAACGGAGTAATGAAAGACATCGATTTGCAGAGGCGGCGCGCGTTACATGCACCGCGGCAATTCCGGTCGAGCGGCGCGATAGCGGCACGGATAATAAATATCGCTTTGCAATCCCGTAACTTCGTCGTCGAGATACGAATTGTGTCGTGCAAACTATTCGAGTGTCGAGCCGCACCGACTGGTGATCGACACGTCGGGAGGAAACCGAGCCTGCGAATTGTGTCATTAATAGATAGACGTCCCCTCCCCGGGTTGTTTCTCCGATACATTTGCAATTTTCGATGTCATCCGCGCAGGACTCTTTATTACAATTTCGACATGCTTGATGGTTTTTAAGATCTCGACATCTTGATGCGAGCGAGTTCGCGAGTTACATAAAAATAAGCACTTTTCTCGAAATATAATACATTTTTCTTAAAGTCCAAAACTCTGTTCTGAAATAAGAAACTTAGCATGTCATAGAAAGTAGAAGCTTAAAGTGCTGTATAGTTTCGCATACATTTATTTCGAATACGCTACAGTTGCGCTGTAACAAAAGAAAAAACCTGTGGTAATGTACGAGAATGAAGATTCATACGCGGAATGAGGAGAGAGTTTCTAGTTTTTACTTTTGGAAGATTATTTATAATATAATTCCTGTGTGCATATATATTATCTGTTTCTATTTGATCTCAAAACATGTATTTTGATACGTGGAGATTTTTTTTTAAATATGTACATCTCTCAATTGTGTTCTAATCCCCCATATCCTGGCTTACTCTGACATAATTTGTCTTTCTGTGATTATATCTGGCGTACTATGTGTAATCTAGGTCACATTGATTTATTCCGAATAATTCTGATGTGCTATATACGATGCACAACCTACATTAGTTTAAATTACACACATCTATTTTCGACTTGATCTTATACGATACTTTAAATTTCTTTATATGAGTGTTTTTTGTAAATTTTTTAAAAGTAATTGTCGATGATTTATGCAAATTTATATCTGTATCGTAATTTCGTGTAAAAAAACTCGTAATTGAGTCATGCAGCTTTTTATCTTTCATTCCGAATATGCAGCTTCATTCTCGCGCTAACTAATCCACTTGCGGCGTCGGAGTATTTCGATTCCTTCCTGTCTACAACTTCCTAATAATGACGTTTGAATTCTGAATATAATTATGTAACTTTCGCCATCTACTTGTAAGCATGATCGGCGACCAAGACATGCTTCCGCAAAACTCGATCTAATTTCGCAGACAATAGCACTCGGTTCTACGTAACATGCTTATCTAATCGCAACTTTTCTATGCATCCAAGAGTTATGACGCGGCATGTCCTTATTGCGGTCACCGAAAGAAAGGTACGTGCTGGAGCACGTGTCACGGGCTTACGTTCTTCCTGGCTGACGGATACGGAGTGCGGCACGCGAGAACACTAATCCTAGAATACACGTGTCACCGTTGTCTGTCACTTGCGGAAAACGCACACGCAAGCGGACGGCATTTGAAAATGCGAGGGAAGCACGCGATAAAACATATTTCTCGTATATATACCTATATAACGCGGCGTTGCTTTAAGCGACACTTCTTTCAAAATTGTCTGGGAAACCCTTAGAAAACTCGCCAACTTTGCCAACGCAGTTGGCAAATTTTCGCTATAGACGGCGTCGCAATTTCTCACGACTATTGCCGCTAAAGCGGATTAATTTACGTTCCTCGCACTCGTTCGTTCCATTTGAACGAATTATCAACCGGAATACGAAAATTCCCATCACAAGCGCAATTATCCTCCTTTCTCCTCTTTTTTTGTCTCCTTTCTCTTTTCTGTCTCTCTCTCTCTCTCTCTTTTTTATAAAGTTCATGAAATTAGTACAGCACTCGGTCTCAGTTCGTTCACCGAATTAAAGCTTCATTATCTAAAACGGTGAATTTCCACACACTTCTACTGCATGATATTCGAAATTACGCAAAGTACCCTACTTATCACACATAACTAGATATTCTTGTATTTATAAAACGCCATTCCAGATATTGGCGCGTTCATTTTGAAATACAGTTTTTACAATTTGCATGGCGTACATGCGAAGCTATTTGAGTGGTAAGCGAGAGGAGAACTCGCTATTTAAATACAAGCTATTTTCTGGCACGTATACGATGAATGAATATACGAAGACCCGACAAGTATTCTTCTTAGAATGCGATTGTGAAGGCGGAGAATACTGCTTTTCTCATTCATGATATATCACAAAAATACTACAGCTATAAGCTGCAAGAGAAAAGAAGCTGTAATCGAATTTTGGTAATATTCAGAGAAAAGAATATAATTATAAAATAAGTATAATTATAAAAAATAATTCTAGAAAAAGAATATAAGTGTATTTTAGATTAACCGCAGAATATCTAGAGAATTAAAGCTCGTGAACTACAAAAGATTCGAGCGATATTGAACGCAATTGCTCGAGGTAAAAATAAAAACGTTTATTCCATTAATACAGAATAGATATATATATATTTGCATCACAAGTAGGAAACTTCGTGGCTCTCTTTATTATAGATTGACGGCGACGGATGGCGTAATTAAGGAAACCATTAACTGCAAAATCCGATTTATCTGCGACGATTGGCCTCCAAGTTTCGCGACGAGGCAAATGTTTCAATCAACTCTGCTTGGGACCGGTATCCTACAGCCGTTGTTCCGAGACGTTCAGAATGGGATTATAATAAAGTCTTGGCTAAAAATTATCGAACTGCCTAAATCCACTTCGGATGATAATAGTGGAAACAAATGGGTCGAAGAGAAAAGATAGCTTTTTTTACATGGAACACACTATACTGCACTATGTCACAGTAGCTTGCATTTCAGAGGCGTTGCGATTGCGATTTGCATGTAAAACGAAATGCGCTTTCTCATATTTACGAGGGGATGATACTTCAATATTCCTTGTCGAAAGATATTCAATATTTTGCTAATATTCATACTTTTTGTCCAACGATTACGGAGAGCTTTTTACAGAGAGATTTGATAAGATTTAATCCACAATGATATTGTAATGGAACTCTTTGCATTAATATAAATGGATGGCAATGCAAAACTGTGTCATCTTGTGCATAGATATGATATTTAAATAATTTATTTAATTAGAATGCTATTGTGTTTTAAACCTCTTTTATGAAAATATTATTTTTTTTCTTTGTTGCAGGTTAATATTTGGACCATGTTTTTTGAACGGTGCTGCGAGCAGGTATGTTAAAACTTCGTTTGAACTTTATGAAATGTCTTGAAAACAAAGCCCGGAGTAGAAAATCTACGAGAACAAATAAAGCATTGTATAGCTGTGTTATGCGCGGCGTTGTAGTATTATTATATATAATAATAATTTTACATTTTGCGGAACGTCACATATACAACACGTCGCTTACTTTTCGATTTCCGTTGAAAAAATTGAAATGCTATTTTCCTTTATGACGTTATATGCTCGCATTGCCGTCAATGTAAATGGTTCAACGTGACGGGCCCCATTTGTCCCGGGAATATTTCCGTTCTTTGGCAAAATGTAATTTCCTTGCGGCAAGGGCCATGCGCTTTAAACGAAAAAAAGGTAGTATCGAATGTGAATAATTCAAATGTCATTTCTCAGTCGGATTTGTCGGTTCGATGCCCGCATACTGCCAAACGATATATCCGATAAAGTGCCGAAAGCAATCGCCGTCACCCATTCGGTGTAAAAAAGCTTATTTATGGAGTATCCGTCGATATCCGGCCTAACTTTGATTGTCACCCTAGTACCCTTATACTGTCACAGTTTCGTGATAGACACAACGACGATCTGGCACCGCTCAGATTGTTAACTAGTGTTTTTCTTTCGGGTTCTCTTTTGCAAAAATATTCCGTTTCCGTGTGAAAAAATGCACATCAATGCGCTTTTTGCGAAATTATTCCTTGCGAGATATATATATATATATATATATATATATATATATATATATATATATATATATGATAGAGTATCGCGCATAAACAAAAACGACCGCAGTGCTAGTGATTTAATTAAATTGTCTGTTTTCCAGTTACATGTAATTGAAATGCAACTTTTAGAACATCAATGTACAAATGTGCATGTGTATATTTGTGTATGCTGAAATATATTCTCCACATTTACCCACGAGAAAATATTCGTTGAAACGCGCGGCTTCGTTTGAACAGAATAACTATTAGCTCCCGTTTCGGCTTTCCGCGTTTTATGATTTTAAAATTTGCAATTCTCTGTGAAATATGTTGTTGCACGTATTTATGCGGGTTAACATTAAATAATGAACAAACAGATTGCTCCCTTCGACAGCATTTAACCTGATTTTTTGTAGTTTCGATATATTAAGAGCGAGAAAATGAACAATAAATAATATACTATCTAAATAATATGTTTATATAAATAATATATTTTTAGTCGAGTTTCTCTGCATAGCAAAATTCGTAATTGATAAAGCGAACTTGTAAATTGAGCTCAAAATTTACGTTTGGATTCGATAATCAATAGTCAAATATCTCGTTATTGCCGGGAATTAAATTACCTATATGATCATTTATTGATTAACGAATCAAAAACGGTTATAAGTCCGTATTTATGATGTGCTGATATATGGAAAAGCTCATTTATTTCGATGTAATTGAAATACTGTTGCCGTAATGATTCTTAATATAATGAGTTTCAATTTTTTACGATAATACATTTCGAAACATACACAGACTTTTATTTTATATAATATTACTTTATAAAAAATATAATACATTGTTTTAATGTTACTTTATGCATGCTATACAACACGACACAAAATTACATAACTTTTAGTTCTAACAACAAACTCATAGTTCTTGTTTTTCTCTTATCTGTTTTTAGTTGATATTCTATTAACGCATTTTTTATCATTAGTGTTTTTTTCTTATCTCCCGTAAATGCTAGGTAAGAAGCAGCATTTGCGGCGAAAAACTTTGCAAGAGTCATTTATATGCGAAGCTATTTTCGAGTATTTTCCCAGTGCGAAAAACCATAGTGTCCCGTTGGTAGCTCGAAGGAACCAGACCGCACGCTAATGGCGGCGATTATCGTGAAAGCATCGGCTTGGCTGCTACGTTTCTTGCTCGAAAGAGTTGTTAATACTACGCCCGCGATCCTGCGATGATAACCCAATTTACCGTCCGGCGTGCGACAAGTCGACCTCGTCGTAGAGCTTGACGGTAAACAATGCCGAAAGCTATTTTCGCAGGTCAAGAAGGTGCGAGTCAGCTCGCTAGGCACGCGCTCGAGAAAGTCACGTTTTTACAAACGGGAGGACCGGCACACAACCGCTATAAAAAGCTCGTTAGGACGCCACTTGTTGTTACAGCATCCCCTGAACCCTTTCGACGGCTCTATTATAACGAAAAAATTCATCTCACGGGCACTTTCTTTCACTTGCGAAGCTAGAGGGAGAGAGAATACTGTCGGGGGGATCGGCAACGGCTTTTGTTCTCATGGAGGTCATAAAATTGCGCTCTCCCTGTTCAAGGTATATTCGCCGAAGCAATCGATCAAAACCAGCCCCTTTTGTATCGTACAATAAAGATAAACCCGCAATCAAGAAATTAAACCCGAATTTTTACAAATACTATAATAATAAATCAATAGAATGTAAAATACGCGTTTTTTAAAAATAGTTTATTGGAATAAATTTAATAAAATATATTGCATTATTTGCTTGAAACGATGCAATTAATAAATACAAAATGACGTTAATAATATAAATAAAATATTTTATATTATTATTATGCAAGGTTGGAAACGTGCATAATTGCGCTTTGTGTTTTGTGATAAAAATGAATTTAGTAATTAATACGACAATAAAATTATATATTTTAGGTGTGTTTATTTATTATAATCATATATATTTCATTCTTGTATTTTTCGTATTTTTCTGGATAAAGTGTTTCAAGCAAGAAATCTATTTGATTAATTTAAATTTGACCTAATAATATACGAAAGAAGGATTCGACAAATAGAAAATGCAATTATTTTATTTATAAAAAAAAAAGACAGATTGTATTATATCAAAAAAAGACAGATTGTATTATATATTTCTCTTTATTTTTTATTATTAGATAAGATATTTATATAATCGCAATATTATACTATATAAACTATGTATCACCGCGATGGAGTAAATACATATCCAATCTTGGACTCCAAATATACTGTTAATATTCGCACACTTTCATAAAATGAAATTGTTAATTATAGAGAATGAAATTCCTCACTTAAACTTCTCTTATATTTATTCAGCGATGCAATCAGAGAGTGTATATATTTTGTAATATACATTTTGTAAATGGAAGATGAAAATCAGATGAAGAAAAGGCGGAAGAATCCTGATAATAAACGTCACGACCTATCTGTATGTTCTTAGTCAAATTAAACTTTTGGAATTGTTACAGAAATTCATGATTATTAAAGTGAGAATCGTTATAAATAACGTAATAAAACATGTTTAAAATTTATTTTATATTATATTTATTATATTCAAATTAAATTGTCAGTTATAATTACATTTATTATTCAAATTAAATTGTTAGTTTCATTTCTTTTTATTTATTAACTGACAATTAATATGTATGTTTAATGCAGCATATAATAAATAAGTTTGATAAAAAATTAATATCGATAGCATCGAAATTGGCTGTGAATATCTGAAATATGATGCTTCGGACATTTTCTCATTCGCAATATTTTCGCATGCGAATATGAATATTGAACATTTTCGCAATGTTTGCCATCAATTATACCGTGTTCTAGAACGCCTATGTAATTCTTGCAAATGAGATAGAAGTAATTGATAGATTAACGCGAAACAGTCAAGAATAGGCAATTGAAGGATTAACGGACATGAACAATCAGGAACAATTCGCGAATATTTTAGAGTAAGCATGACTTTGACAGGACGGCCTATTCAAAATTACTGGCGAGCGTGTGCGCGGTTTGCGTGACTACACCAGATTCTGTGCGAAGCGCCGGGATTAATCATAACAATCGATTCGTATCCGCAGTTCATAAACGATAATATTGTCAACAGATGAAAGCAGCTGCGAGATGAAGCTTCTGAAAAAAAGGAGAAGCCTCGAACCAGCTTCAGCATGAAACGTTATATGACATCGCCCCAATTATGGCCAAATTGCTGTCGCGTTTTTGAAACTGACACTTTGCGCAACGCCCATTGCGATGGAGCTTCGAACGTCCCGATACTAGCGTTTTTTTTCCCCCTTTTTTTTACCATCCACTTTGTTTTTTTCCTTTTTTTTTACATCCACTTTGTCGGCCCGCCGGCATAGATAGAAGCTGCCTGGTATTGAATTCTAGAGACGCGAAATGCCGCTGAAACGATTGCACCCGCCGCGATGCGTTCCATTTCGCGTGAATATCGAGTAGCAAGCGGCAAGAGCAGTCGACTTCCTGATCGCGAGTTATTGTCTGCTACCGACGTCTTCTCGACTCTCTCCTCGAAATTTCTTCCCCCGGTCCTCCACTATCGTAATGCGAATCGCTCTGATTCATCGGCGATGTTCCATCAGGCCGCGCGTCGTTCGAGATGTCACGGCTAAAGAGAAGATGCGCGTCTCTTCCGCGATCGGGACATCTTATCATTTCGCGTAAATATTCGCGACGAGGGCGTCGGTCGATTCGTTTCGGCCAAACTGAATGTTATAAATGAATATATAAATGAACGATATAACGAAGTTGATGACAGCGCTATCGATATTAACGAATTTCTAACGGAGCGTTATCCCAATAACAAAATTGGAAATTTGGCGCAATATTTCATTCATGGACAGATTTTATTACCGCGACACGGATCGCCGATATGCGACAGCATGCAAAACAACGCATTCCGCATGTAATAATTCTCTTATAAAAAGCGATTTCGATGGCGTAGAATAAACCTGGCTCGCGTGCCTTGCATTATTAATACGCTCAATGTAACATCAACTGACAAAATCACGCGCAAAATGCAAATTAGTCATTATTCATTTCTACGTGGCATATAAATCCGTAAGCCGTGGCGTGTACGAGATCGGAGAGAACGAGCGGGAAAACGAAGAGGGAAAAAGAGAATGGAGGGTGCAATCCGTAAAAAAAGTCATGAAATTCATTAACATTCACTCTAACCCACGGTAGGTAGGTGCTCGAGTATTCAATTATTCAATTTGTGTGTGATA